AGCCGGAATAATCCTGGAACACAGAAGCGGCGTTCATTTCGTAGATTGATAGACCCAAGTCGTCTTTCTCCGGGAGCACAACCACAAAGTTTGGATTCGGTTTTGTTGCCCCCAAAGCCAAGTTGCGGCTGGAGATTCGACTACAGATTTGCTGATTTTGCGGTTGCGGGCTCGGAGCCTGGGACCCACTAAGTCTTTGCCTCAGCGTGCCCGAGATTCCTGCATGGAGGTACATGGGTTGTTTCTGCGCATGGACAGCCAAACACACCAGCGCTTGGGTCATTCCCCCTTGCAGTAACAGTAACACTGACCAGAGCAAGTATGGGGAGATTTACAGACTTTTCCTAAAATCTTTGAAGTTGTGACCCGGGCAAGGCCATCATTCGGACGCCTGGCTAAGTTCAACTGATGACTCCAGCAAAGACCCCAAATAATTAATGCTGGAACCTAGGTTACAATCCCTGCGGCTCAGCAGATCATCTTTATCTCCAGAATCACTGTCACCCAGCCTTGCGCTTGGCCCACTCGACCAGGCGCGCCTCAAACCTGGCTGCAAGCTTGCACTGCTTCCGAGTACTTCAGGTGGTTGTTAAATGTTGTTAAGAGGCCTGACAGCCCAAATCCTTCTGGTTGAGGCTGAGCAGGATGCCTTGCATCATGTCTAAATTCATACGCTACGAATTCAAACAACACGGCTCAAGTCAGTGGTTTGGGCTTCCATGGGTTCGAGCACATCACAACTAGGCTGGGTCCAACAAGGAACTACTACCTTGGGGGTGTCTCGCACAGGTGCTCACTGGTGAATATTCAGCGCACTGATTGCAACTAATAGCCGTGTTCTCCAAAGAGGCTAATGGCAGAAAACGGTTTTGTAGGTCCTCTACTACCTACGTCTAGTAGCCTGACATGCACACAACGAAACGGGCAGGAGAGCACAGCGCGCGAAGCGCAGGGTCGGGCACGAGGCCCAGCACGGAACCAAAGAGCCGGGCCTAAGCAGCAGGAACAGACAAAGCATTGCAATTGTTGAAAACGTGGTGGCGAGTAGCAATGATGCATCTTTTTTGAAAGGGATGTGGAGCGGCAGCAGAATTACCTTACCAACAGTACCAGCACCCGGCGTAGCACCAGCATGACCGCCCTGCCACTGCCGCTACTTACGTACTAGGATGACAAGCAGGGGTGGATCAGGGGTGCAGGCGAGCAGCTGGGGACGCTGAGGCTAGCTCTGGTTGCTATGAGCTGTGGAAAACAGGCACTCTGAAGTTAATTATGGGGTATGTGAGGATCTTGTTAGAGTTTTGGGGAATTCCATGCTCTATCTACTTAACGGGGACTATGAGCATAGAAGTCTCAGCACTGGAGAATCACAACGTTGGCATTGCCAGCTTTGAGTTTCAGCGCCATCACCGTTGCTCCACACATATCACCGTTTCACAGTATCCCCACTCAGTCTGCCATGAGTCAGATCCACCCTGGTGCAGGGCTTAGGGCTAAGGGTAGCCGATGGGGAAGTCATGAGCAATCACAGAATTAGGACTGACGCGAGCATTAGGAACAAGCTCGCTGACTAGAAGGACTTCGTGCTTCAATGTGAACATGACATTCACCCATGAGCTAATTCATCAGGCATTGCCACGTAAACTCCATCTACCCCTTCGTCATCCGAACACAGAAGCCCTTGGCTTGCATCTTGCTTGGGCGCACACCCGCCGAAGCCACACCTCAGCCTGGGGCTCTTCGGACTGGCCCGGCTGCGGCCTAGGTGAAGGCATCAAAGGAGGCCTTCCATGCAGGACCATCAACGACGCTCTGCGCGTAACTGCAGAGAGGCTGGTATAGGAGGAGAAGAAGCGGCAGCAGCAGCAGCAGCAGCACGCATGAATGACAGCAATCGCTGCCGGAAATGCAGCGGTGGAGTAGCGAGGAAACATGAATGAAGGGAACAACGGAGGGAGCCCGTCAATTACCCTGAGGTCCAAAGTAATGCCAAAGAGTTCTCAGTCTCGTGTATTCAACCTACAAGATGGGTTCTGTTCCGAAAGAGGCTGCCGCGTTCATGAAAAGGTTCTGCCACAATATTTGAACTCTGTCTGCTCTCTGACAGTGCGTCGAGCACAGCTAACTTCTTCAAGAGCAGGAGTTCCCAGTCTCTCCTTATCCCTTCCCCATACCAGTACAAACCCTCCTTCTCCGCAACAGGAAACCTTCACGTATATGGCACCAGATACAAATCGTCGTTGTCAATTCCTTGGTGACATTCTAAGGATTATATCTTAGACGAGCCATTGCAAGAAGCAAGATGATTTCCTGGCTGCAGCATGACTTTTTCTCGCCAGCAATCCGAAAGAAGCAAGGAAGCTCACTTCCCTCTCATGATTATGTTAGTCGCTTGTCACGAGGTTTAAGCATAACCCTGCGACGATACTGCTTTGCCCAATGTCTGACTTTGCTGCAAACTGAGATCATCGCAGGCTTGGGGCAGACCGCATCTATCCAACAGGACAGGCCACAGGGCAGGATGGCCAGCATGGAACAGGGGGACAGGGAGGGAGCGAGAGAGAGGCAAAGAAGGACAGAGATAGAGACAGAGTCGGAGAGGGAGATGGGGAAAAAAGAAACACCGGCAAAGAAGCTGAAGCTGGAGTGTGGCATGCATAAGTTGCATTTTAACTTAAAAAGCGGGGCGAGCGCCCACGCTTCGCTAATTTAAACATTGCAACAGGTCGCCGCGGCTCTTGTCCAGGTATGGAGGCACTCCCGCCATGGACACATGCCCGCAAGAGTGACGCAGCACTGCTGGCGTGAAACTGCAAAGCTGGCTAGGGACGGCTCCAAAGTCTTGTGCTTCGCTCGCAATCATGTCGGCAAGTAGTTGCCAAGCCACTCAGAACTGAACATGTCCTTCAGTGCCTGCAGTCAGATGGTCAAGTACTGGTCTCTGGAACAAGGCTAAGGTTCAAGCGTGGCTTGCTACACCAGTTACGTTGTAGCTTGGAACTCTTCGACGGCCTCTCTGACAAGCAGACGGTATGGACGTAGCCTCAATGCCAGGACGATGAAGACCATCCAGATCCCGAGTCCCACTTCCGGTGATCTTGCTTCCACTGCTGTTGCTGCTGGTCGTGGTCGGTGTGGTGCTGCTGCCGCTGCTGCTGCTCGTGATAGTTTTGATAGTGCCGCCAGTGCGAAGGCTGCGAAGGCTCCGAATGCTCGGCCGGCTGCTGATGCCTGATGGGGGCGCCGTGCTGAACATTCACGTCGTCACGAGCACCACAAGAGCACGCGGAGCTCAGCCCGGCCTCCCGCGCAGAAGGTGAGCAGGCGGAGGCCCCGGCGGCTCCTTCCTGAGTCTCAAACCCGAGCCTACGGGGACAACCAAACTGAAAGAAGCACGCGAGTAAAGCATCAAAGTGTCAGAGCGGCTTCGTGTTGATCTAATAACATGCACAAAGCACTACTTGTGACGCATGGCCAAGCAGCGACGCCCAAGACCCGAATCGCTCAAATCCTTCTCTAGTTTCTGTTCTAGATGCGGTTTTGAGTACCTGAGTACCAACAAAACAGGCAAGCCTTTTCAACCCCCCTCTCCAGCATGCAGGTCACGAAGGCACTTTTTCCACATCCAGCCAGTAGTCTGCAAACCAATCAAATCAAGTCCGCTGTCAAGTGTCCTCTGTTGGAACTTGTGGAATGGATCCTCAACTACAAGCCAAGGAAAGAGCTCTTCCCACACCTCCACTGTTGCAAGCAAGCTTGTTGCAGCCGTAGCTGGCTCCTGCCCTTTCAAGACAGCCCTCCCTGAAATGTAATCTGTTGTAAACCTCTTCGCGGCCGAGCCTGGGGCTGACAGGTTAGGAAAGAAACACAATAATGAGTTTTGAGCCCTGGCAAGGGCCTGGAACTCACACATGCTGTGTAAAGATCTAGAAGGTGTTGGATCTTAAACTGGAGCTGTGCCTTGAGTCTCTGGCTGCTAGAAACTCCAAATCTATTCTCCCCATGGCTGCCATGGGCCGGCATTCTTGTGCTGAGGCCTCATGATTATCAGTATTCTGTTTTTGCATCCGGGTCTCTGTCCGCAAGCCTGGAATTGCAAGCACTCTCTTATAACCATGTCATGCACACACAGGCTAATCCTGTCAAGTCTTACGACTGACTTACCCTAAACACTAATACAAGCCCGTTAGACATTCCTGCTCAAAGCATCCTTGGCCGGACTTGCGAAGCTAAGAACCTAACTCCTAAAGCCTAACCCCTACCCCAACCCTGACCCTGAACCCCCTCAACCCCGAAACGAACTCAGATCCCATCTCCATCTGGGCTGTAACTCTCAGCCACTAAATCTCTACAGCCCTGAACCCCGGGTAACCCCTAAACCCTAAACCCCAAAGAAAAAGCTAAGACTCTGAACCCCTAAAACACTTCACCCTGAACCCTGAGTAATATTTAGTAGTTTCCATTTTGATCATAACCCTGAACCCTGAGCTTCAACAAGTAATCCTCTATCCCTGATGTAAACCTTCCCACCCGCTGATACAAGCATTCCACACGTTATGTGGTTGTGAATGAGTATTGAAGAGGTAACATCTGTTAGTAGTTTCCCTTTTCTTTTTACGTTCCCCTATAAACCCCCAATACTGCTATATGACTCTGTGCAACTTTATTTGTAGCCCTATATAAGCATGCTATAAACCTGTCACTGGACATGGGTCCTTATTAGAGGATAATGTTGGGGACTATACTAAACTAACAAAGGGACCCTTATGTGCACCCTCGACGGTCCCTTGGTAAGCCTAATATTGACAACATCTCGTACATAAAAACCCAACAAACGCCACACAAACCCAGTTCCCAGGTCATTTTCCACTTTCTCTTCCATTTGATTCTCCATCATCCCAATATACAACCTAAACCTAGATAACCCCAATATATACCCTATTATAATAGTTTCCAGCTCGTTTTCCATTCCCTAGTAGTAGGGAGAATGGACCAAGCCCTCAGGAGCGCTGGCTGGGAAGTGGAGGTCGGCTAAGCAACCAGGCAAGACCACCTTGGCCCAAGGGAATGCGGGCTCAGGGTTTAGCATATATATTGGCATTGTAGGGTATATTGGGGTTATATTGGGAGATTGGAAGATAAAATGGAAACTACTATTTAGGGTTTAGGGTTTAGAATTTAGGGTTTAGGGGAGATTGGAGGTTCAGAAGTTTAGATGCATGCTGTTAGGATCTGCGAGAAGTTTCAGCTTAGAAATTGGGACCCGAAGTTCAGGGTCTAGTGTCCAGACTCCGGAATTGAAATTTCAACACCCGCGTCGCAGGGTTGGAATTTACAACTCATGGCTTACGGCTTTCAGCTTCATAACCCCCTTAATAATGGAGAATCAAATGGAAAAGAAACGGAAAATGAAATGGAAACTGGGATTATATAGGGGATTATGCGGTTTATAGCCTAAACTCCTAGTATCCCCTTCATAACCCCTATAGTAGTCCCCCAAAATCCCTTATACAATCCCCCATAAACATCCCTTTAAGAAGTTTAGACTTCGGCTCACATTTCCAACATTCCTCCCTATAATCCCTCACATAATCCCAGTGCCCATTTCATTTTCCATGTCCTTTGCCATTTGATTTTTCAGTCTAGTAGTTTGCAATTCGTCAGCATGCTTTCAGCAGCATTTGAACTGGGAGTTTCTCACCCGTGTAACCGTTCAGCCGAACCGCCAAAAAGACTGCGGGCTCTGCGGGCCCCCAAGAGAACCCAAATGCATGGAAACTACTATAGTATATTGGGGCCATACAGGGATACTGGAAAAGAAAGTGGAATCTACCCATTTCAAGAAACCGGCTTCCCGACAAGAATGCAATTCGCCAGTAAGGGCTGTCCTCTTCCCAAACCCCAAAATAAATGAATTCTGCAAAATGTTGCAAAGGACGATGGGTCCACACAAACCGTGAGATACATCTCATCCAACCACATCTCGCTTCTTTATGGAGTTTGCGAGTATTGCTGTCAGAATAACAGCTTCCACCACCCGTGCATGTGCAACTTACGTCTTTTGAAACCCTCCTTGTCAATCCAAGTCACCGAAAACTGGCACGAAGGCCGAGATGGCGAATTGCGCCTGGCATGCGCAAAGGCTACTGGCACATTGCAAGAGGACATGTGCCGCCCTTGCACCAACAAGACAAACCGAATCGTGTTGCCGTGACATCTGATCAATCAATACGCAACAATAATAATAGAAATCATAATAACAATCGTAAAATGACATGTGTGTATGTATACACACATTAGTAGTAGCTTCCAATATCTTTTCCACTATTACTATCCTCATCCCACAAGCTGCAGGTTGGCTGAATGAATGCGTCCCATGTCCTTATCACCAGAGCTCCAGGAATCAAAGTTGCCCAGGAAGACGCCTAGCAAGAGTCATTGTGCGCGAAACTCAATTTTGAGCCACAAGCGTCATGGCTCAACATCTTGACAGCTGCCAGCGGCTAGCGTTGCAGTTCCCAACCACAAAAGGTGTATCAGACCTTTCTTTCTCTGTGACAGCGGCTTCACACCCTTTAGAGATCTCCTTGTGGGCAATCTCCAGACTCCTGAATCTGGGTTCCGCGTGAGTGCCCAAAAGTCTCGGCCGCCGCACTACATAGGACATTTTGCGTTTAGAATAAAACAAAAAGTGGTCTGACAACACATTGTCCATGTGCATTTAGTCTTGGAACCAGCCCTCCTGGAGCGTATGAAAATGCCGTCACCAGTCCAAGCCCTAAACCCTAAACCCTAAAGACATAGTGAAGGTACCTTCTGGTATTTCCGAAGTAAAGCTCACAGCCTACCTACTACAGGGCCCTAAAGAATAACCAATGCCATTTTGAGGTCCATTTGAGGTACAAGTAATATGGAACCATACGATTAGTAATTATGTAGGCCCCTGTACTGCACATGCATCCCCTGCATACTTCTGCTTCACTGCCCTGCTACCTCGCAAAACAAACTTTACAATACATCCCGTCCCATGGAATCTCTCGAGTTTGTCTGCAAAATCCCACGCGAAGAAGCTTCGCGTGATGAAACTTGTGAGTAAAATCATAGCAATAATAGCAACAACAATACAAACAACAATAACAATCCTACCTTGCATGCGCAACAGAAAGCCTCGCCGGCGCCCATCTTCTAGCAGCACAGGCCCGAAAAGCATCCAAAGCACCTGGGACGGTAAGTTGGCAAAATCAAGTTGTTTATCCATATTGCTTACTCTGATCTCCATTGTTATCACTATTCTTATTCCTATTGCTACTGTCAGGGTTTAGGGCTTTAGCTGCATGATCTGAGGGTTCCACACGATCCATGCTCAATTAAACCAGCCAATCAGCCGGCTTCAGTGACCCAGCCTTCCCTTTACCTTCCATGGCAGGCACATGGGGGGGGTCCAAAAAGTTATGGCTCCCTTTCGTGAGGAACCAGGGATTATAGCATTTTGGTGTCTATGGTGGGTAGGTACCCTTGCAAATCAATAACTGGGAGTTCCGGAAATTAGGGGTCCCTTTTTCAAGGAGCAAAAGAACAGCGGTCCTTGTATGGGTTTTCTAACTTGTGGAGCCACGACCTCAGGGCGGCGCCATGAAGTCGATGCTCGACACGTGGGCAGTCAAACTACCTGAAAGCAGTCATGGGCTCCCTGGCAGTGCCACGCAGCTACGCTTCCTGTGCTTCCTCGATGTTTAGAGCTTGTAGCATCACTAGAGGCACTGAATTTCGATTCCGTTCTGCTTGAAGAGCAGTGGACAGAATCAATCCGGCCATGTCTTTCCATGTTCAAAAGAATTTGATGTTTAACATAGGGACAAGGAGAGTCAGGTCCAGTAGGGGATTACAAGGAAGATTCTAGGGTCTGGTGGATATGCTTCGGGACTACATAGCAAGATGAATTGGAGGCACTTGTGGCTTTGGACTTTTTGCATCGAAGGAGCTGCCGAAAACTGGAAGGAAACCCGCAAAGGCTTCGTTGGGGCTAAAGCCTCCGATCACCCCGTTTCCTGACGTACAAGCACAACCACAAGGTTCAGCAGAAGGTAAATTACAAAAATGACATCAACTTCTTCACTGGCCCTATTCTGAGAAAGGATTCGCTCATGTGCCCCAAGCAAGATGGGAACAAAGTTTGCCAGTTGGATCAAGCTGCCAAGTGCAAAAAGAGCCAAATATGCTGCGAATGCCAGGAGCGCAACAGCCGTTAACCGATTCTCCAGGATGTTGGAAGTGGCCCAGTCAAGCTGCCCGGATTCGCCTGGACTTTGAAGGCCGTAAGCCAAACAGCCAAAGGCTGAACATAGGTCATCCTCTCCATCTGCAACACACTCCAGACAGTACTTGAGATGCGCAACAAAAACTCTTGACCACAGCCCCCTATCGTTTCACGATTGACGTCACCTGCAAGGCAGTCATCTTCATGCTGCCGTGCTTCGCATCATCTCTACAACGTGTCAAGCTTGTTTCGTTGGATGCTGGTACAGCTTAATCATCCCAAATCTCGGCTCCAAAAAGTCATCTGACACGAGAAGGTGTGTGGGGAGGATCGGATCATCCCCATTGCAATCTGCCAGTCACATTCTTTGAGCCGCCTGCAACAGCTCGGTGCTCTCGCAGAGCCAGGTAAGGGCTGAGAGCAAAGGCGCCGAGGAAAAAGGAACCAGCCACAAACCTGGCCGCCAAGCTGAGACAAATTGGCAAAATCAGGATGTACACCATTCCCATGACTACTCCTGCTACTACTCGTACTCCTCAGCTTTACTTATTACCAGAGTTATTTTGCTGCTTTTGGAAAGGCAGCTGTGCCAGCAGCAAGAGCATCCCAATACAAGTCCAAGCAGCGGGACTGCAGGTGCTGGGGACTGACGGTCTGACCCAGGCAGCAGAGTGGCTGCGTAGATCATCGGCCAAATGCCTGGCGCCAGAGCTAGCAATGGAAGTAATGAGGTCGGAGCCGTACCTGTAGTGATACTAGTACCACTGCTACGAGCAGTAGTAGGATCTCTCGCCAAATGGCTTGCCGGTCCGATCTGAGTCACCAGGTAGCTAAGGTGCCTAGACTGGGTTGCAGCTGAATAAATTTAATTCAAGTTACCATGCTAGGGAGACACAGTAATTGCGATATATATATATATGTATATATATATATCTATCTATCTACCTATCTATCTATCTGTCTATATACATACGCCCACTATGGTAACTTACATCAAAATCCTCCAATTGATGTCGTAGAAAACGCCACGGACGTCTGGGGACAGAGGGGAGGCACGGTGTGGCACAGCCGCCACCTCCTTGGGAAAGAAGCTGAAGTTGTCATTTTCCTGTGCCTAGATGTGAGAGAAGCCACACGGAAGTGGGATGAGATTGTGGCTTTTTTATAACTTCAAAGTAAAACAACAAAAAAGAAAGCACGGATATTGATGTTACTTTCCCGGAGAATGAGAAATGGTTTAAGCATCATGCTGGCGATCGTGACACGAGGTAAAAGCCTAAATCTTCTGATCGATGAAGATTCTTCAGGGGAGCTTTCAATGCACAGCAACCCCCTGAGTCTAGCGTGTTTTAAAGGACTCCGCACGGCCCCTTCTTCTGTTCTTCCTCTACCACCCTTGCAGTTTCAACAAGATCTAAGCGTGGGATGGCCGACCCAGCATATTGAAGATGCAGCAAAAGAGTGGGTTCACGGAGCCGTCGAACGGCGTCGATAAGATCCGCTCCAAGAGCGCCTCAGAAGCAGCGTGGTGACGCTGCACCCTAAACACTGGTCAGCAAACAGCACCACCTCTACATCTCAAGATTAGTAAGTAATAGTCATGGTGAGGCATCATTCTACATGTCATGCGAGAGACGACAATCTAATGTCGTGTCAGAACCGGCAACCATCGGGCTGTTGAAGCAGCCCTGCTGCTGGACGAGACTGGCTAGAGTGATATTTCACTGCTTGCATTACATGGCACTTGGTCAGCCGCCCGCTCTTCGGGGCTTTTCCCTGGCGCGAGGAGCACAGAATACGCCACCAATGCCAGCCAAGTACCTTGCTGCAAAAATCGAGTGGGGCGCAGAATTGGCCACCAAACCCCTACAAACCTTGCATCATGGATCATCAGCACCCGTAAGGTCTATGAAGTTGCGCAAGGGTTGACCGCAGGGCAGCCAGGAAACCAGCGATAGCAAAGGTCCTCAGCCCAGCAGGAGTGATGGCTCAAGGACTTGTGGGGATTAAAAAGAACTTAAGCTGGCCCCAGTTATCTATACCTTGGCAATCTTTGCTGAGCAGCCGTACTCGCCATCGCTTGGGGCCGAAGAAGTCGTCGCCGGCCTGAGGTTCAAGAACTGAACAACATTAAGGACCCCTCCAAGCGTTGCAAGCTTTCTTCTGCAGATTCAAACCTCGGCTCTCCCAACCCTTGCAGTGTTCCAGTTGTCCGAATTGATGGTGCGTGATCCCCCGCTTGCGCCCATTGAAAGACACATCCTTCCAACGCCACGGCTACACAATGCTGATTTGGCCTTCCTGGCTGCATTCAAATCATGATCGAGTCCCTTTGGGCTCTTCACATTGCATCTTATTGGATCTTTATCTAGGGGCTACGGCGCCCCTAACAACCCTAAAGCACGCAGTAGTCCTCCTTGTAAAGCCCCCCCAACTCATTCTTCTTGAAACCGCCCTGACTTTCTCATTGTTGGTGGGAATGAAGGAATGGAAAAGACAATGGAAACTGGAAACTGCCACTTTGTTCGGGATTTTATAGGGTCCCTCCATTCCCTACTAACAACCAGCAAGTTAAACCCTATTATCCTACAAACCGAAATAAGCTGCGGTTGCCACTTCATTGTCCATGTGCTTATCTGATTGTCCACCCCACTACCCACACAAATCCTGAACAATAAACCCTCAATGTTTCCATTTTCTTTGTCGTTCACTACCTACATCCCTATATAACTCCATATGCACGCCTTTAAGGCAGCTTCCAACAAATTCCCTTATCACCTTATCATGAAATAGCAATTTCCATGTTCTTTTCCATCATCCACACAAAAGCCCAATATGTTCCTTTATTACCTTATCATAAAAAAAAAATCATTATCTCTATATAACCCCAATATATGTAACTCCTATGTATCCCTTCTATCTTCTCATATAACCCCTATATAATCCTTATAAAAGCCCATATAATCTTTGACTATATCCCTTATACAATCCCTATATAATCATGTATCCCCTCTATCTTCTCGACCCAGCCCCGGCCTCTGCCGGGGCCGCGCCGCCGAGGCCCCGTTGCAGCTGGACAGCCGAGCCCGCCAGCGCAGATCTGGCAACTGGAAGGGCAGCTCCCCCTTTTCCACTGATATAGATACATATAGAAGGTAATATAGGGATATATAGTTTTAATGGAAGAGGAAATGGAAACAACTATCTAAAGGTTAAGGTTTATGGTTTAGGGTGAGGGTTCAGGGCTTTTTTGCAGCACCTCTTTACCCACTGCAGATAGGTAAGGCCCACTGGGCAGGCGCGGTTAGGACAAACAATCAAACTCTGAAGCAATGCTCGGCAGGGAGAACTTCCTGCCCCAGATTGCCCCAACCAGCCATGTACAGACAAACGTGCAGAACACATCCAGTAGAAGGAAACAAGAAGGCATTCACCATCAATCAGCAGAGTTTAGGGATTAGGGTTTAGGGATAAGGGTTTAGTCCCCCTTGAGTAGATAGAATACGGTGTATATAGGGATCATAGTATGATTTTGGGCAATTCCATGTTCTATCTGTTTAGGAGAGTTTACATGGGGTTACCGACAATATGTCCCCGAGAATTTATGGACATGGACTGTCTCAGCCAGGAATTTATTAGGGACTATACTGAATACAAGGGTCCGTTAATAAGTCTACAGTCTAATACTGACAGTAGCTCATATGGGGT